GAATCCTTTATTTAGTCCACTGGGGCAAATTGTTCTAATTCCACATGTCATGCCTTTGGATATCTCAGTTTTAGTTAATTCACTTTCATAATTCTCCAAGTTTTTGTTCTCTCCATTAAAGCCAGTGATTGAACTTTGGGTCAGGTCACTTTTTGGATCAATCAATCAACCAACGCTTTTATGCATGGGGCCATTTGAGGTTGTTTAAAAGGCAAAAAGGCAAAACTTGTGGTTACTCAATTATTGACTTTGCCTGTGTTGTTTTCAATCCCTACAGGAATGATTGCAAAACACTTGTCCATCCTCAATTTATAGGCAGAAGCTCACAAAAGCATGCTGGGATTTTTTCTTATCCATTAAAATAGGCTGGTTCTCAGTTTCATCTGACTCAATCCCGGTTTGTATTGGCTTGAAGTCAGAATGCTAAATTTGCTTGTCTGAACTTGCTTTTGTGTGTCAACCTGAATTCTTAGTTTGTGAACTTTTGCCATATTACTGTTGCTTTGCCTAACATATATTGTTTGCTTGCTATATATTATTTTTTGACCTGTTCTTTTCTTGTTACTTATTGCAAACTTTGTCAATTCTCTTTGTTGGACAGTTCTGTTATTTATTTTGCATTTGACCATAGCTACTTCCTCTACAGTTTGCCTTACTGATCTTATCATGCCTTCAAATATACTTAATTTTTTATTATAACACCTAGTATTTTTAAATGATCAGTTAAATGGATTTAGTCAGAGAAAGATAAATCACATAAAGAACAACTGATATTTTCTTTAACTCATACTTTTTTTAAATTTTATGTCTATAAACAAGTGTTTTATTAAATCAAAATTTAATAAAACACTTGTTTATAGACTTTCTTTGACTGCATCATCATCATTATTGGAAAATTGGCATCTGTATTCTACATGAGAAGATTTGTTTCTATGTCACCACAAAATCAATTCCCCTTTTTTTGTTTGTTGGTTCAATACATGATTATACTTTTACTATAAACAAAAGCTCCTTTTATGAATTAGAAAACTGTAACATATTCTAATAAGTTTTTTGTTTTCATACTAAAAGTGATTTATTTTTTTATTTACCCTTGTATGTATCATGTAAGCCAGTACTACCTGCCACATATTTAGGTGCTCAGTGACTAAACTGGTTCCTCCATTAGACTTTTTAGTGAAGAGGGTGACAAAACTAGCAAAATTATAAACAAGATTTGTCAAAGTGCAGATAAACCTTGTTAAGTCAAGTCATCTAAGCACATTGGGGTAGACTGGGCTCCATAGCTATACATACAACCAATGCAGTGATGACACTGAATTGCTGGGTGGTGGGCTTCCTAGAATAATGGCCAAGTCAATGGCCAGAGTGGAGGGTTGCCTTAATGCAATCACCAGCCATGTGTCTGTTCCCAAGGTGAGCCTTCAATTTGAGAACATTTGCTGTGGGCTGCGATGGGGTTTGCTAGGTCTACATGATATGTTGAATGAACTGGTCATATGCTCTTAGCTGTGCACTGACCACATGACCACACCCAGTCATGGGTTTAATGATGATATTCTTAGTTATAGATCTGATTTTGTCCATTTAAAAAAAAATTCTTAAATTTAAGTGTAGAGCAAAGGTGATCACTTAGTATGTCATATGATACATGGTTACTATATTTTATCAATTAAGATTAACATTGATTGCTGTAATAGTGTTTGGCATTTAATAATTTGTATGTCTTAAAATACTAATTATTTTATTGATTGCAACAATTAAGCTATATATTATTTGTTTAGTACCAAATAGTAGCAAGCAAAAGAAATGAACAGCTTAGTTAAAAAAAAATATGAATGTTTAAGTTTTACTAAGAAGCTCTAATTTCTTGACAATGTACTTTCAGGAGTGTAGTGCATATTTTAACACTATAAAGGAAGATACTGATCTGATTGCATGGAGGATACTGAAAATAGGGCATGCAAAAGTTGAAACATTTGTCATTGCACTAAAATAACAAATTATGATATACATGTAAAATTTTCATGTTAAATTAACTAAGCACATAAACTATAAACTTTTGAGCTTTTCAACTAGACTTTGTAGTATAGTTGATTTAACTCTCATTGGAACAGTGAATTTGAAGAAGGTGATCATTTAAATTTCACAAAGGAGGAGAGCCAAGTTCAAATCACACTCTGGCTCATTATATTAACTTATGTGTAAATACCCTTAGGAAAGGTATGAATTCACCCCCACCAACTATTGGTTAATTAACAGGAGTTCTATTAGTAAAACATTATCTTAAAAAAATTATTAAAATTCAAAAATATTTTCTGGCTTTAAATAACCTATAAAAAGTTAAGATGTAAAAAAACAAAACAAAAAAAAACCCCAAAATGTAACAATTTGATCAATCAATCAATTGAAGTAGTGAAAAAATGATTTAACTTTTTTGTTATGAAATATTTTAGTCATGAAAATAATTTGATGCTTTGTTGCTTACTGTTAAAACAGTATTACATCCTTTAAGAGTTTATAATTACATTGTCTAGATATAATTACTGATACATTTTGCTTTTCTTCAAACTTAAATTAATATTTAAATTTTGTGTTTGGCATCAAACTCCTTCAGAAATTTCTTGACTATCAGATATATACAGTTGTTTTCTCAGATCAATGATTAAAAATGACTTCAAATGAATAAATCCTTTTGTCTTTAAAGAAGACAATCCTTCATCTTATAGACTGGCACTACAGAATCACAAAGAAAGAACATTACCAAATAAAAAAAGTCATATCACTTGAAAATTTACAATAACAATTAAAATGGAGAGTAAATGAAAATAATGATACAGTGTGCAGCAGAAATACTTCTCATATAATGGTAAGACATTTGCTAGATGAAGACACCATTGCCACTAATGTCTTATCCTTATATGGAAGGTATTTCTGCTGCACACTGTATAATCAAGATGTTGAACTTTTACACTACCTTAATCTAAAAGTTAGGAAAGAAACTTCAATCAATACAATAAAATGTAATAATAGTCTAATTTTCTGAAAAACTTTCTCTTTTTAAATACATTTTAATGAAACAGTAATGCTGACTGTTCAGTCAATGAATGCTGAAAGTTTCCTGTATGGAAACAGTTGTTCTCATCATTGCCATTACTTTGAAATTAACCTTTATATAATTAACTACTGAAAAAAAAATGACATTTAATGTTTATGATTCTACCTGAAATATTTATAAAGACTCCTTTATATATTCATTAAGCTGGAGAAGGCTATAACATTTGACTCTGGCATAGGCAGCGACTGGTGCCTGCCTTTTGACTCTGGCACAGGCAGCTGGGGTGCCTGCCTTTTGGACTCTGGCACAGGCAGCCGCGGCCTGCTCTTTTGAGGCACAGGCAGCTGACTGGCCTGCCTTTGAAACTCTGCCTTTTGACCTGCCTTTTGACACAGGCAGCGCATGCCTGCGACTCTGGCACAGGCAGCGACTGGTGCCTTTTTTGACTCTGCAGGCAGCGACTGGTGCCTGCCTTTTGAGGCGGCACTGGTGCCTCTGGCATAGGCCTGGTGCCTGCTTTGGTGCCTGCCTTTTGACTCTGGCATAGGCATAGGCGACTGGTGCCTGCCTTTTCTGGCATAGGCTCTGCCTGCCGCATTCCGGCATAGGCAGCGACTGGTGCCTTCCTTTGGTGCTCGCGCGCGCGACTCTGGCATAGGCGGCGACTGGTGCCTGCCCAGCACGACTCTGGCATAGCAGCATAGGCGCACTGGTGCCTGCTGGTGCCTGCCTTTTGACTCTGGCATGGCAGCTGGTGCCTGCCTTTTGACTCTGCGACTGGTGCCTGCCTTTTCTGGCATGAGCAGCGACTGGTGCCTGCGCACCCGACTCTGGCATAGGCAGCGACTGGTGCCTGCCTTTTGACTCTGGCATAGGCAGCGACTGGTGCCTGCCTTTTGACTCTGGCATAGGCAGCGACTGGTGCCTGCCTTTTGACTCTGGCATAGGCAGCGACTGGTGCCTGCCTTTTGACTCTGGCATAGGCAGCGACTGGTGCCTGCCTTTTGACTCTGGCATGGTGCCTGCCTTTTGAGGCAGCTGGTGCCTGCCTTTTGACTCTGGCATAGGCGGCGACTGGTGCCTGCCTTTTGACTCTGGCAGCCATGAGCGGCGACTGGTGCCTGCCTTTTGACTCTGGTGCCTGCCGCGGACTCTGGCATGAGCCTTTTGACTCTGGCATAGGCGCGACTGGTGCCTGCCTTTTCTGGCACTCTGGCATAGGCAGCGACTGGTGCCTGCCTTTTTGCGGCACTGGTGCCTGCCTTTTGACATCCTGGCATGGGGCAGCGACTGGTGCCTGCCTTTTGACTCTGGCATAGGCTCTAGGCAGCGACTGGTGCTCGCCTTTGACGACTCTGGCACAGGCAAAGACTGGTGCCTGCCTCTTGACTGGCATAGGCAGCGACTGGTGCCTGCCTTTTGCATAGCGACTGGTTTTCGACTCTGCCTTCCTGGCATAGGCATTGGTGCCTCTGGCATGAGCAGCGACTGGTGCCTGCCTTGATCTGGCATTCATTATTATTTTTTTTTTTATATCTGGCATAGGCAGCGACTGGTGCCTGCCTTTTGATTCAACATTAAATTAGCCAGTGTGTTATCTGTTATTCATTATTATTTTTGTTTTACCAACAACATTAAATTAGCGTAAAATCATCTATTTTTTTCTTGCACCATGGTAATGATTAATACAATTTGTCAACATATTCCCTTATATAAGTTGAAATAGTGTAGATTTGTTATACTGTCAGCATTTAAAAAAGGATACTTAGTAGTACATGATTTGTATCAATAAGCAAATAAAGTAGAATAACATTTGATAAATTGTATCTTTGTCTTCACTGAGCTCGGTATAATTATTTTTTTTTATTTCATTTTTTTTTTTTTTTTATTTTTTATGTAACACATTTAAGTAAATTTGCAACTGTTGTTTCTTTTCTCTTAGGTCAATAGAAATTATCCATCCTACTGATCCAGCCATTGCAATTGAGATTACGAGCGTGCTGCGAGAATGGAGTATTTTACTTTACTATTTGTTTGAGGTTTGTAAATTTTTTAATTTTCAGATCTGTTAGAAGAGTTTGTTTTTTCACTTTTTGGATCTTTTGTGATTCATATATTGTCAACAAGTCGCACAGTTGTCATTGGTTGTATTTTGAAGCATGTCTTCTGTCCTGTTATTTCTTTTATTAATAGATTTCCATAGATGCTGTATTTTGAATGCTGTATACATTAATGATTCTTGGACTATAAATATGAAATCTTTCAAACCATATGTAATCAAATATATAGCTATTTATAGATGTCAATTGAATTCATATTAGAAGTGAAATATCTAATTCTTATGTTATCTCTTTTCTAACTTATTCCTTTTCCAATTGATATCCTTGCTAGCATATATGCAAAAACAATATGACCCCATTCCAAAATAACTCTGAATTGGTTTCAAATAACAAATGCATGAAAAACCCAAATGTTAATTTTACTACAACACTGTGGAGCAGTTTGGATGTTGTTATAACAACAGAGTTTCTCATTACTAAGAAAAATCAGGTGGTATTACAGCTGCCATCAGTGTCCCACAAAAATTGTATATATACTTTGAATGATTATCAAATAAGTGTTCATTAAAATACATTTCACTTTCAAAATTTAATAGAATCTGCAGACAGGATTTAATTTTATTCTGTAAACACCTTTTATCAAAATGATGACCTTTCTTATCTGGGAAATGTTGATAAAATGAAATCAGTAGGATCACAAACATCAAGAAATATCTTGTTCAATATTTGTGTGCATTCTTCAACTTTTGCCAGTTTTGTACTGTAAACCTTTTTTTAAGTATCTTCATTAAAAAACCAAAAAAAAAAACCTCTAGTGGTGTGAAGTCTGGTGAACAGTGTATTCTACTGAACCCCTTTGTCCAATTAACCTATCTGGCAAAATATCAAGTTAGGACTTTAAAATCATGATGGTAATATGGGGGTGCCACATCTTGCTGGAAATAAAAATCATCATACTCAAAGTCTTCTTTTGTGACATGACGGACTGTTGCAGCCAGTTCCAGTACAGTCAAAGAAGAATTGATAAAGCGTGCCACGTTGTTACTCCTGCTAAATTACCATGATGTGCCATCATAATATGCAGGTTCTCAGATACAGTAGGTGCAATTGTGACAGTTAAATGAGCCATTTAATATAAATGTAGCTACATCACTTCAAACAAGTGTGCAGCTTCTACATGTCTCTACAACTATCACCTGCAAAATTTCACTTTTTGGTCAGGATCATCATCCGTGAGAGCATGGGCAATTCTTGCAGTGTAACGTTTCTAATGATTGTGCTTCAAAAATTGATGGATGCTTTATTTCGAAATTCCTATTTCATGACTTTTTTTTTTTTTTTTTTTTTTTTTTTAATTGTTTCACTCCAAGCATGCCACTAGTATACAGGGGGTTACAGGGAGTGAAAAGTGAAAGAGAATGAAAAGATTGAAAATGGAGAGGATTGAGGAAAGGACAAAAAAAAAAAAAAAAAAAAGGAACAGAGTTCAAGAAGATAGAAAATGGCAATTGATGTTACATTTAAAGTTTTGAAGATTGTAGTTATCAGGGAAACAAGAAATTGGAAGGGAGTTTTAGAGGTGGGAAGTACAAGAAAAAATAAACTGTTAGAGTAGAAGTGGTGGTTGCATTTAGCTAGTTCAACAATAAAATGGTGAGACCTACTTACTAATCTAGCTTAAATTCATGTCATCAGGGCACCAGGAGAAAAAAGCTCATCAGTTGCCGTGAAAATGTTTGTAGAACAAAAAGAAGTCACATTGGTGAGAAAACGACTGGAGATGAGATGCCTGGTTAGGATCTATTGTATTGCAGACACTTCTCTGGATTTCACCAAGAATCTCAAGATGCACAGTATGAGCACTAGACCAGATATGGCAACAGTATTTAATACATGGACAAATGGTAGATTTATAAATATGCAAGATGGATTCTGATGAGAGATTTTGGTTCACGACACAGTGAACCAACCTTCCTTGTAGCAGATGTAGCAACTTACTTGGTTTCATGTCAGTGGTAAATGTGAGGCCAGGAAGGCGTAGGGGATTGCTCTCCTGGACTTCAGCATTAGCCATTCTGATGTTAGAGAGAAAAGCTTCTCTGTGGTGATTAAATGTAAGCAGTTTTGTTTTGGAGCCATTGAAATTTAAAAGCTATTTCTTGCCCCAGTTAACCATTGATTAAAGGTCTTTTTCAAGAGTAGTTGCCAGGTTTACTTTGTCGGATTGGTTGGATTTGCTACTAAGACAGACATAAATGGTAATGTCATCTGCATAAATACCTAGTTTGGAACTGATGATATCAGGGAGATCATGGATGAAGATCAGAAACAGCGTAAGTCCAAGGATAAAGGCCCGGGGTCTCCAGCATTGGTATGAAATTATCTGGAATCATGCCCTTCATTATTTGATTGTTTAGGTCCTATTGGATTAAGCCAGGACACTATACCCCTTCAGCTTGTGTCCAAGGCCAGCTTGCTGAATCCTGTTGAATGCCTTTGAGATATCTCTAGCCACAGTTCGAGCTTCACCATTCTTATTTAAAGCTTGATTGCTATACAGATTTACCTGAATTCTGATGATACATTTCTATTACCCTTTCTTGCTTTTGGGTGCTCATCTATATCTGCAGTCTTTCAAGAATTTTTCATTTACTTCTAACTTCTCTCTAATTCAGGTGATCAGTTGTGTAGGTGGATCTGTTTGAAATTCCCTCCTGAACAGTCTTTGCACTTTAGTTGTTTTTAAATTTCCAGTAGCATTTTAGGATAAATTTCCTTTGTTCAAAGCTGAGCCTGCCATCATTGTTTCTAATGCATTAAATCTGAAAAGAAATGAAAAATGAAGTTATCAGCTATTAAAGTATGTTTACATTTTGAAGGAACACCCTTTATTTGAAGTCACTTTGTTTTTGTATCATAGATGTTGGGATAATTGCATGAAATGGTTAAATATGAATATCATAATAGACATTGTGAAGAGATAGCTATAAAAATATCTTTAATTTCTATTGGTTGTATGGATGCTGCCACTTCTGCTAAATAATGCCATGAAGACATTGAGCCCATGAGAGCCACCCTGTCTCTCCATCTCTCATGGTCTTTGCAGAATATAAGAACATCAGATGCCAGATTAATCTGCTGGAGGTTCTGGTGGATGAAGTCTTTTCAACAGCTGTGTGGCCTGCTGTGAGGTCATTGCCATTTTGCAGATGGCAGGTCAAACTGGTAGATGACTTTGATAGGGTGGTCATGAAGTTGTTGCAGGACATGACTGAGTCAGTGAACACAACACTGAGTACAAAGGATGTTTGGTTGACCAGTCCTTGAGCAGAGCTCATTGGATACAAGATTGGACCAGTGCACTCCTTTAATGTTCCTGTGGGCGCAGAACTTGAATGCGGGAAGCAAGGGTCTTGCTGAGAGGCCGTGTCTTGGTGCTGTATCGTAGCACAGAGAGGACTTTGGCATTGTTAACTTGTACCTTGGTGTGCCGGGGGATGTTGCGCTGCTGCCATAGTGGTCTTGTAGGGTTAACACATGTAATTGTTGCTTACAATTAAAATGGTATTACAATCTTCAAGATTAGGGTGTCCACAGTTGTCCTTCTCCTAGACTAGCTGCCACCCAAAGCTATAGGATCCAACCTGTCCTGTTATTTACCCATAGCTGGGGGAAGAAGAGATGGATTCATACCTTTCCCAATGGTATTTACATGTAAGTGAATGTAACGAACTTGACTGGAATTCAAAACTCTGCTCTCCGATTCTTCAATCTGAATTGTTATCCATTACTCAACCATGCTTTATTATATTGTGTTGGGGTATCCTTTATTTTAGTTTATACTTCAAAGCATTCTATTGAAACCAAAATGGCTGTGCTCATGAGAAATCACTATCGTTATAGTTATTTCTTTTCAGTAAATGTTAGCTTCTTATTTTACCTAAAATGAACCAGCACAGCCAGATAACAATTCTGTAACAATTGTTGCATTGCAGCTCAAACCAAACACTGGGCTCATTGACAGGGTGCAGTTTTTTCCAGTTATGTTTTTGTTTTAATAAATGACTTTTGGCCAGTTTGTTACCCATGAGTGAAAAAACAAAACAATTTTGAGCAATAAACCAGATTATATTCTTTGTTTGTTAACCTACTGCTATAAGTGAGTGAAGTAGAGATGAAGTGTAGGTGAGTAGTGGTTGGGGTGGTGCACAATCCAGTGGTTGTCTGCCCTGTTTGTTCTCAGAAGCCCACATTGTCTCTCTGTGTGCCTTTTCACATGATGGTCAGTTTTATTGATAAGAATTTTCTTTGTCTTGTCATCTTCATCTAAAAAAAAAAAGAAGCCATTTATCTTCCTTTTTGGCTTTCTCTCTGTCCAAGCCTCTTGCTCTGTACTTTGAAGTTGACTTCACTTATTGAAAACCATTGATCGAAAGTAAATGTTACATATTCATTTTTGTGGTAGGTCCAGCTATTTTCAATACAATGCAGCAGTGAAAGTGTTAAAATTATAAGACTTAGCATTCAATCTTTGCTCTACACTTTTGTTTAAATAATGCACTATCACAGTGGGGACCTAATGTCACTTGGAAAATTAAAGATTAAATTATGATTTCAAATTTTTTAAATTTGATTTATTTTTCTCTCTCTTTGTAATTGTAAATATTTTGTACTGGCTCCAGACATGTCTGTCTCTCACATACATGTGTATCTTATACAGCCAGATAACCACTTTATGGCAATCAAAACTCTGAAGACAAAGTCCTGTTTATCAGCAGGTTTAGTAAAAGGGAAGGGAAATCAAAATATGACAAAAGGGCCAAATATTAAACATAACTGTGAAACCATAAAGTTTAAATATTTAAAAGAGGTAGCAAGTAGTTTGCTTTCAAGAATATATAAAGTTTGCAGTGAGAAGCCTACATTGGAAGAAGATTACATAAAGTTAAAGTATGATACTGTGGGAACAGTAAACACATCATAAAAGAAAGGAATTCTACATGATGAAGTACTGCAACAAGAATAAATGTATACAAGGGTGGCTACCTTAAACAAATGTTTAACTAATAATACAATATTAAAGGGGACCAATGCAGAGAGGAAGGGTTAAGAAGTTATCTACTGGTGATGCTATCATTTTGGGGAGTAGAAATTAGGTGGATAAGAATGTAGGAACCATGTTCTTTGACCCTGTGGTTATTGTGCCAGTTCTGGGCTAAACAGGAAGTGGTCAAAAACAGTGACTAATCATAAAATGTACCTAAATTAAAAAGGGAATGAACAAGGGGAAAATAAAGTGCTGTATTGTGGTAACAGAACATATTTATTATTTTATCATCATCATTATTATTATTTATTTGTTTATTTTTTTTTTCTTTACAGACAAATAATCCCCTGTTTCATGAAATCTCCAAATCAATGTATGATTTGATGGAATGGCGCAGCAAGATCTTATCAAAGAAACTTACTGTGGTAAGTAGATATTAAATTGAGTTTAGCCTTGCAGAGAGACACAATTGTTGGGCACCCAGTGGGAACCTAACTTAGGAGATTAATAGTTTAGAAGTTTAGCTTTCTCTTCATTGTCCTATAGCAAATACTCTCATTGTAGTAAGTACTGGTTCCCCCCCCCCATCCACCAAAAGTTATATATATTTTTTTTTTTTTCATTTTTAAACTTCTGTCTATATTGTCCTGCTTTGTCCAGAAGCTTGTAAAGTGTTTTTGCTTGCATCAAAATTTTTATTTATTTTAATGTTAAAATTATCTTTTTCCTTTATTTCTTGGGAGTCCCTGTAAAATTTTGGAATATAAATTAAGATAGGAATAATGAAGTAACTATTTCACTTTATCAGTATTGATTCTAGTCAGCCTTTCCAGCTTTTAATGCAGCTCTAATTAAACAACTAGAAATATGGGAAAAAAACTATAGAATACTTGTATTTATATATGAGATATACTAATTTATTTCTGTCTCTCTCCTTTTTTTTTTTTTTTTATAAAATTCTATAACTATTTTTAATAGCAATTTTTCAACCACCATGAGTGTTATATATATATATATATATATATATATATACACACACACACACACAAGTATATCCAAATATAGGATTGGTGTATATGGAATAAATTCCACTAACTGAAACTATTCTTAAAAGAATGCTCAATACAGAGTAGAGCAAATATAATTTATTCAAAAATTATAACATAAATATGTTATAAAATCACTACAAAAATAGCCATTTTGTTTCAACAATTCTGGTGTCTTATCAAGTGATAGTGTTGAATCCATATATATATATATATATATATATATATATATATATATATATATATATAATCTCACACTATCACTCATTATAAATATCTGGTATTCTTCTTTTCATATCTGCCTTTGTCTCTTCTGGAAGTGGGTGATCATGGCTCTTCACAATTTCTTGTCCTTTTTATCTCTTAGTAAATCTTGTTTTTTTTTACTATCTCTCCTAATCCCTGTTCTGCCAACCATTTACACAAGCTCGTCAGATAGGTTATGTGCTGCTTTCCTCTGCCCTGCTTACCTTCAATGTCCTGTCAGTGTCAAAATTTCCTCATTATGGGCTTGAGAAATTTCAATTCACTGTTTCTGATGTTAAGCATAAGTGTCATTTTTTCTTTTTTTCTCTCAAATTTTGTCATTGCTCACATGTTCATTTCATGGTATTCACTTTAGGAAGGCATTTCTGTTGCATTAAGTCATTTTTCTTCATTTGTGAGGAAATTGTACTGCATTCACTGCCATATAGGAAAATTATTATTACATAACAATTAAGTACTCTTTTTATTTCTTTTTGGTTTTTAATAAGATTTTCCTGTTTCTTAATGCTTTGCTTAGCTTTTGAAAGGCATCTTTCACTATCCCAAATGCATCTTCAGATTCTGGTGTTGCATTTTCTATCCTCTGTTAAAACACTTCTTAGATATTTTTGTACCGGCTTGATTATGGCATTGCCAATTTGTAATTTGCGTGTTGAGCTCTTCCAAATCATTTTACTTATCAGAGCAATAACAATTTTGTGTCATTTCCTGTTTAATGAAGTTTGCTAGAGATGTGCAAAAGTTTACTCACAAACTGAAAAAAAAAATCAATTTTCAAATGTTCTGCAAGTTGTAAATTTGTTAATGTTTAGGCATTTAAAAAAAATCTCTTCAGTGACTTTTTAAAAATATCTTTTCCATGTCCTGCAGAGACATAGATGACTATGCTTCTCCAAAGCTTCCTATCATTTTTTGCTCTCCTCAATAACTACACCTTTCTCACCACTGTCTATATAGTATTTGTTCCTCCAGCCATTTGTTCAAAACATTACTATATATCTGGACTGGTTCATTCTAATTACATTGCCTTCATATATACATTATATACCAAGGAACCAAGCAATTTCTCTGGAAAAATAAAGACGCGTTTCAACATTAATTAATCCTGCAACAGTTGACATATTGTATAAGACCAAGCAACTTGGTTGTTTATTAAAACTTATCAAATATGTCACTCACTTTCTGATTGTCAAGTAGTTTCTTTGTAGTTCCTATTCATCTGAGGGCTTCCTTGTTTCTCCATGTTCTAAACAGTAGAGCCACATCTTGTTTGTGTCAGCCCTCCTCGCCATTTATAATGAAATTGTTTAAAGGTCTACATAATTACTAATACACTTTTGCATTTCAGTATGAATAGTAATTGTGAGTTCAATCCCTAGGTTTGTTAATAGACTTAAACACAGTTGTCTTGAAGGTTACCCAGATTGACAAACACCTGAAGAAGGCCGGAGGATACAACAGCCAAGAGATCAGGATATTTGAATGTAAATTTAGAATCTTAAAGACCTTGTTCTGCTACTGTAGTTTGCAAGGGAGATAATTCAAAAACACCACAGCTCCCTCATGAGTTGCTGTTTTAGTTGCAAACTAAAGCATTATAGTTTATGTAATACTTAAACCAATTATATAATTTCATAATTATGCTATAATATTGATTTGCATATGAATATTAATAATAAATTCTTGTAGCTAGATTATTAACTGCATCAATTTTGATAATCCTATTTACAAAATATGCTTGTGTTATAGCATATTGTTTCTAATTAATCTTTAACAACTCATTGTTCTACTTAAAGTAAAATTAATTTTCTGCTATAAACTCTTAAGTTATTAATTTACTACACTTTAAGAAATGTCCTGTGCTGCATTACATAAATGGAATATAATAAATATAATAAACAATAAAAACCTTCAGTAAATAAGTAATAGTTTTTAGAAATTCTTCATTTTTGTTCTATTAAGTTTAAATTTTATGGTAGACACTGTTAAATGTACAACTGGTCTTCCTTGATCCATAGTTTAGGGTGCCAGGGATCCTGTCTCATTAATTTAATGATAAACAACAGCAAATGTTGGATGACTTGGCTGCTTTCAGTCTGGAAATGCAATCTGATACAGCCATGCAGCCTTGTGTCCATTACCATTTGTGTGGCCATATGTAAAAAGTCATATCTGCCTGATCATGATAGGAATATCCTGTTCCATTGTTAAATGGAACACTTCTTATTTAACTCACTATTACACACATTAAACGTTGAAAACAGACTAACCACAAATATACTTGAATGACAAATGTAACCTAGTCTTACATGGCAATTCAGAGCCAATAAAATTCTCAAAGTGAAGGATTTGGGAATATATGTTTATATGGACTTTTGTCCTTGTTTTGGTGGGAGAAATCTGCTCCCAAAGTTTGGAAAGTATTTTTGACACATCCTGTACAAAAGTACATGTTTTTCTGCAACCAACTGTCATGTTTGTATCTCATTGTTTTGTTACAAAAAAAAAATTGATTGAGTCATCAATTGTGACTTGATTTTTATTTCTTTTTTTTTTTTTCTTATTCAGGATGAACTGCGAGAATTGAAGCAGAAAGCTACAAACAAGATTGATTCAGGCAATGTGTAAGTATAAATGATATATTTGTTAAGAATTTAAATTGTTTAATTTAAAATTTAATAGTTGATAAATGCATTAAAGAATAAGCAATTTGAGAGCAAATGTCATAAATAAAATCTTGCAAAAAAGAAAAGGAATTTATTTAAAAATGTTTTATGAAATTGCTTATTTTAAAATTGGTTGTAATTTCCCTTTTTGCTTCATGATAACAATTTAATATTCATAATCTTCAATAACTTGCAATGTTGACAGACAATTTTATCAAAGCAATCATGAGCAGCAACAAAGGTTTTGGTTTGAATTATCATTTTTACTAAGTTCATATCATGGAAATCAGATAAACAAAAACAATCCTAAAATTTCAAATTTTATTTTTTCATTTTAGTCGTTTGCAGCTAGATCTTGTTGTGCGGGATGAAGAAGGCAATATCTTAAACCCTGAAAAAACAAGTACAACAGAACTCTATCGGCAGGTAATGAATCTCTTTATTTTATTTTGTGTGTGTACAGCATGCATCTGGTAATTGGGAACAAATTAACGAAAAACAGAAAAGAAAGGCAAAGATATTCAATAGAAAAAAATCAATATGTTTAAAATATTGTGCATGTTAAACAGAAAAAATATTATTCCCTAAAAATACACCTAGCCTTGAAGAGTGCCTCAATCTGGCCTTGGAAATTAATTTCCAGATCAGGTGATATTCATGTTGGTCATCATGTCAATGATGACAGCCATCAATGAATCTTTGGTATTGTGGAGTTACTGCTGATTGGTTTCTCTCATCAATATCCAAGATATAGTAGTCCAGGAGATTTAAATAAGGAGATCAGGGAGTTGAAAAGTTGGCTGTAACATGATCGTCAAAATTCACAAACAAGCTACTCCTGAGTTATATGGGTCATATTGAAGAGTGCAGTGTCCTGATGACACTGTATGGACTCCCTTAGGGTCATGCCCTTGATGTAGGGCTTAAGAATCTATATTCATCATCTTGATGTCAGTGGTGACATTCATTAACTTGCCTGAGTGTGGTTGGTGATATTTCACCTGTTTGCTGAACTCTGATCTCTTAACGTTATCTTATTGATTAGAATTTTTCTTTCTTTTGGCCATTTATGACATGTCCCTGTCAGTGTCCTCCATCTTGTTCCTAATTTAGAACATGAAGCATCAGATCATTTTCAGGATGCTTGATATCTCCCATTACCTGTAATTGGCAGCTAGTACCATTTATACAATATACCTTTTCATTCTTTCTGTCAGTATGGATGTTGCCATATTAACAATCTCCATAGGCCTGAAATAGAAATGAGAATGTTAAAATTTTCTACATGCTGTGTAACACCATGTTCTTAATTTATTTTCCATTTATGGCCTGCTAAAGGTGTGTTCTTAAATGTCTGGTGAACCTTTATATGCACACACTTGCTGGAAAAACTCTTGACCCAGACACAAAGGAATTAAAAATAAAAAGTGTTTGGTTAGATTTGGGAAAATGGGTTGATTCTAACATTCTTTCATATGTCAATTTGAAATATACTCTTTGTCACTTGCTTAAACTATTTTTCTCTCATGATATTTTTTGTGTACATTATTCTCATAGGAATGAATGTGGATAAAAATACTGCCTCCATTTCCCAGGAAACTTTTAGGAAAGACAAAGAACTGATTCCATTTATTTATTTTTTTTTTTTATTTAAGATCTTTGAAGCTTGGCATGCTTAACTCCTGATAATGGCATCTTTTAATTTTAGACTTTGTAAGCTAGAATATATTTTCATGTCTAACTTTGTAAGAGCAAGACCAAACTTCTTTCTTTCATTTGCAAGAGATGAATGTTTAACTGATAAATATGGTGTAACTAATTTTTAATAAGCAGAATGCTTTTTTGAATTTTGTTTCTTTTTTTTGTTTTTGCAGCATGTTATTGCAACTAAAAGGATTCAGTCTGAATATGTAAGCTTTTCTTTATTCTTAAAATACATTTCTGGGGGTTTTTTGATGACCTCTGATGTTCAATGTTCTCTTATGTTTTCTTTCAGAAGTTCTAAATAAATAAAATTAAACTTATCCCTTTAGCTATAATAGATCTTTGGTTGAAAAATTTTATTAAAAAAACATTGGGGAGGATTAATGCTGGCTGTAGAGTGTGGGAGAATGAAAATAAAGTAATGAATAATAAGTAAAATAAAGAATTTCATTTTACCATAATGCATAGGAAACCAAAAAGGGTTTCTGGTCATCTGTGAATTTTGTGACTCCACTTCCGGAAAGGAGATGATTGTTCTCTTCTCACCTCCCACTTATTGATTTTGGATGTGTTTGGTAGATGTTCCAATGAAAGGGAGATTCAGTCACCCTCACTTAATGTCATGCTGATTTGAGGTCGACCATTCTCTATACATTCACATCTTTTACCTAGGTGCGTCAATAAACATTGGCCAGTCATTTTTTAAACAATTCTTCACTTTGTTTGTTGCCATCCACTAACATACAATTTCTGTTAGTGGCACAATCAAATACCAACCCTTTACAAGAGTATTTGAGACCCAGAAACTCTAATTAACTCATTTAACAAAAATACTCATGAGAATTAAGAGACAATCATTTTTACAGTTCTTCAAGTATTCTTTTAATTTCTGTTAACTGTTAAAGTGTATTTTCCAATGTATCTTGAATATAAATAGATTCTGTAAACAAGAACTTGTTTTAGGAGTCAAAGTATAAGTAAAACATTTCCCTTGTTTACACTATTTACATGTGAACTATTGTCCTTATCTTTGGCGTTGACATCATACCGTTTCAGCCATTGTGCCCGCCAGCCTTAATCAGGTGTATGTTGATCTGGGTAACCTCTAGGGAATTCTGAACTGAATGCTTTATTTAATCTTCAGGGTAACCTGTTCTCAGTCCATTGCTCATGTCTAAGGATATCTCATCTAGTACTTATTTTTAGTACTGCTCAGTTATTATTTCTTGTCCTGTTTCCACCGAATCCAAGTACACAATACTCAGCCCAAGGATAGAACTCACAATTACTCTCACCAAATTCATGAACCAATACTTTATTCTGCTAAGCTATTGTCTTATATTAAATAAGGACTAGAAAAAGTATCTTAAGACATGGACAGTGGAATTTAAATAATCTAGATGTAAAACAAATCAAAGGTTCAGATTGGAATTCTCTGTAGGCTACCCAGATCAACATATACTTCATGAAGGCTGCAGACCACAATGGTCGAAATGTTATGACAGCAACAAAAAAGGTGAGGACAAAATCTGCATGTAAATAATGGTAACTCCTCATCCCAAAAATTCAGAAAAAATACTTTATCAAGAGTTTATTATCAAAATCAACATGGGTGGTAGTCCTGGGTAGAGTATATATGTGTGACAATTTTGTGAATAATGGCGTCGGGAGATGCTGTAGATTTGAAATGGACAAGTTTACTATTGATCACCAGTTTGTAGAAGTAGGTACTCTTTTGTAACATATGCAGTTGTTTCAGAATTGTAACAAAGAAGTTGAGAAATTTCAAAAGAAACAAATTTCAACATGTGGAGGAATTTTACATGTATATTTATATAAAGAGTAACATAGCTCACAAAAGAAAAGAAAGAGAAATTTGTGTGTACAGATAGCTAAAAAGAGGAAAGAAAACACTTATGTAATTAGCCATAGTGTGTGTTCTTGTGTGATTGTCTACTGGTTTGCTTGAATCTAACTTGTCAATTTGGTTCAAGAAAGAAATCTCTTCCAGTAGAGACAAGTTCATGTTGTGGTACTATATTGTAAAGCAAGAAAAGTGAGGAAAAAGGTTTGTTATCTGTTCCTTTAATTGTCCTGAACAGTGTCACCAGGCAGGTGTCTTAGCAGACAAAGACAAAACCTATCCAAACATTAAACTCCTTGATTTTTTTTATTAAATGATGTTATCATTTTTTTTTTTATTAAATGATGTTATCATTTTTTTTTTAAATGATGTTATCATTTTTTTTTTTAAATGATGTTATTTTTTTTTATTAAATGATGTTATCATTTTTTTTTTTATTAAATGATGTTATCATTTTTTTTTTTATTAAATGATGTTATCATTTTTTTTTTTATTAAATGATGTTATCATTTTTTTTTTTTATTAAATGATGTTATCATTTTTTTTTTTATTAAATGATGTTATCATCAACAGCTTTAAAAAAAAAACAAAAAACAAACATGTTATTGAATCATGAATGATAACAAAAACTTGAAAACCTTTCATTAATATTTTTTTCTATTTCTCTTTTAACAGAGCCGGAATTCAACAGAAGTTGAAACGAAACCATCTAAAAGCCCAACATTTGGGCTTTATGTTTTATTACATAATTTTGTGTGCCGTATTGGAGAAGATGCAGATATATTAATGAATCTTTATGATGAAAAAGCAGGCAGCTTTATAAGGTAAGGAAAAGACTAAAGAAAAAAAAAAAAAAGAGACAGTTCTCCTTTTAAGATATTTAAATATTTTTCTGAACCAAGAAAAAATTCTTAATTTTTATATATTCAAGGTTACAGTGCATTTATCTAAAGCAACAGCTATTATGCCAACTTAAATAAAATGATTTCACACACATGTGTATGTTAAAAGTAGGATATAGAATTCAAATAAAGTTCTGAAGAAATTTAATGTCTTTTTTAAAAGTTACTCATTTGCATTCTTTCATCACGAGAAATAACAGCTTAGGGAAAAAGTACTAATGATTCATTGTTTAAGCATACATACAAACACACACATTTCTTTCTTGGATCTGATTAAACCTAGAAAGGTGAAATATGTAATCAAATCAAGTTTTCATATGTTTTTCTAATTGTCAAATTTCTTATATATATATATATAATAAAGAAGTTAATGGTCAGAGTTGAATTAGACCAGGAAACAGTAGTATTTAAAAAAGTGCTCAATATTTATTTTTAATATATCAAAATTTACATGTATAACTTTCAAGTATAGAAAATTAGGAAATCAGACAAAATAAATGAATAAGTGCACAATATGTGGTGTGGTAGAAGGTGAGAAGTGTATTGGTGGGGAATTAAATGAAATATACATATGTTCTTTTTATCCCACTTCAAATGAACCCAAAAATAACTTTTTAGTATGAATACAATGAGACTTAATTACCAATCTCTGATTTAAAATTTTTTTTTTGTCTGGAAATGTTATAGCTAATTTCTCTTGTTGACAAAGGTTACAAATGTTGCTGTGATTGTTGAAAGGATTAGCTTTTTTTTGTCTGTATTTTTTATTTTTATTTTTTCAATATGGAATATCCAATTATGTTACTTCCCTTAGATATATAAATTATTTACATTTGACAAGAGAATATTTACAAAAATAAAAATCTGGCATGCAATCTAAGTTAATTGAATGATATTTACCATGACTCTTAAACTATCCTGGTTTAAAAAAATGGCAGACAATTTTAATTTAATTAATTAGCTTATTACATTATTTAACACTTAATTGAACCTGGATAACTGAATGACACTAGTTCAGCCATATTTCTTCATGTATAATCTTAAAAAAAGTTAATAAAATAATTGAATATTTAAGGGTAAAGTAGATTAAAATTCAGTGTTACTTTCATATGGTAGATTTTTATTTGGTGCTTTTTATTTTCCTTTCTATTTTTTTTTTTTTAACAATAGAAACCTGTTATGAATTAATCAATGAAATGATTAGTTGAATCAAGTTTCTTAGTATAGGGATTATTTTAGATCAATTTTATTAAATCTATATAAATAAGTGTAGATGTCATTGTGCCACACCTTTTCAACTTTATTCCTAGAGACTGTAGCTCAACAAATTAATGAATCATACCAACTCTGTGAGCAAATTACAAACATTTCAAGTTGAATCTGGACCTGCAATCCTGAAACTTTGGATTCCCAAGTTTTCATTATTGTGATATATTTTTTTGTGGCAAATGTTTTTGTACAATAACAATTTTTATAACTTGAAAATAAATTTGGGAAGAATGTCAAGATATCGCCGTGTATTTTTATATATATAAAAAAAAAAAAACTAAGTCGGGTAGTTATTGTTTTCAATTCTGATACCTCTGTAGAAAGATTTGCCAAGTCAGTTTTAGATTTCCTTCCCGTCTGAAATCAGACACTGGATACTTGGCTCTCATATCATTTGGTTTGCGTCAGAAACATTCCTTAAGTAACCTTTTTATCTCTAACTTTTTTTATCCGATTCCCCTCATCTTGATTCCATGGACACTCTCATGGTGGGTGTTATCAACCAATTGTCAACACCTTGCTTGTTGTAGAAATTAAGTATTGTCCTTAGATGGTATTAATAGGTATGTGAGTATACTTGAAAATCTCTTGTCTAATCTTTTGCATTGAGTAGAGAAAATGTATTGTTTTGTTGTATATATCTGTTTGTAAATCTCTAGATTTTAAACTTTTCTTTACAGTGAAAATTATGTTGTGAAATGGGGGAAAGAAGGTATGCCAAAAGATATTGATATGTTGAATAACTGCCGTGTTGTGTTCACAGTAAGTATTTTGTATCCTGATTTAGTACACTACAAAACATTACTCAATTTGCTAACATTTTTGAATAGCCATAAGACCTGTAATAATCAGTGTACATAAATATTTATAGTCTACAAATAGTATTAATTTACTTATAAACTGGATTACAATTAATTTATGTCTAAATTTCTGGGATGAGGAGTTGTCATTATTTACATGCGGACTATTGCTCTTGATTTTGTTGTTGTCATCACTAGAGATTTATGGCCGTATTACATTGAAACATTGGTTCTCACTCGATCATCAAAGTTAAGCAATGTTGAGCCTGGTCATTAACTAGATGGGTGACTGCTTGGGAATACCAGGTGCTGTAAAGTTGGATGTATAGTTAGTGTAATAGGTAGCAGCTTGGACTGTGAAATTGCAGAGCTGAGTTTGAATTTCAGTCATACTGAGAAAGATATGAATCTGCCTCTTCTCTTCCCATCTATGGGTTAAATAGTAGCACTTGTATCAGAAAATCATTACCTCTGAGAAATCCTTACAATCCAAAAATATTTTGGTTTTAAATAACCTTGAAAATGTTAAGATGTAGAAAACAAATCAATATATCAATGTTTTGATCATCGTATCCTTCGTCTTTCGTAGGTGTATGTTGAGGAGGTCAATAGAGAACTGAAGCCTTTATTTAATTCTAGTGTGGTAGATTGTTTTCATTCCCCTGTTCATGTCTAGGGTTATCTCATCTAGTCATCAAATTCACAAACCAAATGCTTTAATCCACTCGGCTATTGTCCTGTGAGACAATTCTGTGTGTAGCCTTAAACCTAACCTGTCTGCTGACAAGTGTTGTTGCTGTTATGATTGAATGCACTCACTGAAGCTTTATTTTTTGTTACAGCTGTTGCTACTACTACTACTGCTGTTTCTGTTTGCCTTTCTTTCTTTATTAGTGGCTCCCATATCATTTATTTCTATGCTAGACCTACTAAGGGGGTCCCCATAATTGTAATCCTCATGGATTACAATTTATTTTGCTGGAAACAGCAGATATGACAGAGGAATATAATTTACCATGACAAAAGAAAATTTGTGGTTTGGTGCTTAAATAGGCTTTATATGTAAAGAAACCTATTTTATATTTAATTTCATCAGTTTCATCATGTTATTTACATATTCATTTCATTTTTTATAACTCTGCCTGTGACTAAATTTTTATTGTGCCTCCCACTAATAATATAATATATATGACAATAATATAATAATATATAATATAACAGTATAATAATATATATGACAAATTGTGTTTACAACATGAGTGGTAACATTTAGTTTGCATACCAATTTTTAAAATCATATTTTAATAAATATTTAATCTGTGTTATCTGTCTATATTTCTGAGATAAGATATTATGTACATTTACATTATTCGGACTATTATCCTCATCTTTGTCACCATATTTATCAACATTTCGGCTGTTGTACGCTCTGGCCTTCTTCAGATGGTTGGAATGTCGAACTGAACCCTTTATTTCGCTCACTGGAGTAGACTGTTCTAGTTCCACGTGCCATGTTTAATGGATGTTAGTTATCGGTTATCTCCTGTTAATTTTTCCTCTGAAAGTTCTCTACTGCCTTAACCGGGTATTGAACTCACACTCTTTGGGTCCTATCACTGGATCTAACTAATGCCTTTATCCACTGTGCCACATGTTCTCAATACAGTCTATCCAGTGAGTGAAATAAAGGGTTCAGTTCGACATTCCAACCAACTGAAGAAGGCCGGAGCGTACAACGGCCGAAACGTTGTAATAAATATGGCGACAAAGATGAGGACAATAGTCCAAATGATGTTAATCTGTGTTATTTATTTTTAATTCAAATTTTTAAAATTGCCATATATAAACAATGTTTCTGTCAATAAAATATTTTTTATTCATTGTATTTGAATAGAAAGAATTTCGATCTGCCTTGTCAAAATTTACTTGTGAGTTTGAAAACCTAAAGCATTCATAAGAATAAGCATTGTTGTTGTCTGATATTTCAGATTACTGCAAATGCGTTGAATAGTCAAAAGAAAATTGTAGAATTATCTAAATAAGTCAAAATAATGTTTAATTAGATTCTACCAAACTATTTAAACAAGTTAAAAATGTAAGTTTGTTGAGTTCATTTTTATTTATATAAACTTTACAAAATTATTCAGATGTTTTTCTCATGTTCAGATCTATGTAGCTATGTGCAGAGTAGAAACAGACAAGTAGACTTAGCTTAAAGAAAAAAGAAATTTATAAAATATATTTTGTTGAAAATGTTGTTTGTAAAGATTTTACAGAAGTAAGAGAAATTCTATAACAACTTACTGTTCTCTATAGAACAGGCCTTTGTCAATTGATATTTTTTAGTTAAATATATTCTTTGCTGATTTCTATATATATCTGATATTATAAATGGAAATGATTATTAAAAAATGTTCTAGATTTTTCTTTTTTTTTTCTTTCTCTCTCTTCTCGGTGATATTTCTCATGAGAAATAGAGTAATAAAATTTAGAACAACTAACAAGGGAAAAAAAATGAAGGAAATATACATTTTTAGAGGCAATGGTGGATATTTTACAAAACATGTATTCTGGAGATTTTGAGTAATATGACTAGATTTGACAACCTGCTTAACTCAATTGTTGGTTACTTCTGAATAAATCTATTTTAACTATTTGGTGACATGCTGTGAAGCTACAGTATCAGTTTTCAAAGAGAAAATACAGTAAAAATACATCCTTTTATATATTAATCAAATATACAAGTCATATCAAAGGTGAACTTTTAACTGATGGTAATGTTGTCAATGGGAATATCAACAATTACTTGAATTATAAGAAAAGTAAAATGTTATATAGTGTGTGTGTGTGTGTGTTATTAATTGGTAACATTTAATTATAAGATGTATGATTAGTATTGTATATTTGTATACATATTTAGTTATTGATGGAGATTGAAATCATTTGATCGTATTTTACACAGTTGTAAAAAAAAATAATTTTTTCTTTTTTAGGATCTTGGTTCCAAAGATCGGGAACGAGAAAGAGTATATTTACTATTCCAGATTGTCAGAATTGGTAAGGATTGTTTTTAAGAGGTGTCAGTTAGATGTTTGTAGAGTATGTCTTGAAAGTTTTGAAAAGATTTAAAAATTCAGTAATTACTATTTATCAAAATGAAATTGTCTGAAAAATAATATAACCTATATGCCCTTCATTTTAATTTGGTAAAGTGGTGTAAGACAAGGATGGACCTTCTCACCAGACTTATTCAACCTATACAGTGAGTCAATTCTGGGAGAATTAGAAGTTCTATCAGAATTCGTTATTGGTGGTGACAATCTTAAAAACCTAAGATATGCAAATAACACAGTGTTGATATCAGATACAGAAAGGAAACTATAAGAATTACTACAAAAGATAGTGAAGGAAAATGAGAAGAAAGGGTTAAACATCAATTCTAAGCAGACAGAAGTGTTTTAACAGAGGACAGTAAGTGCAACACTGAAATCCAAAAGCACATTGGGATAATGAAAAATGACTTCCAAAAGATAAGCAAAGTATTAAGAATCAGGAAAATTAGAAATATTGAAAAAGAGTACTGAACTGTCATGTAATATCAGGCCTTCTATATGGCAGTGATTGTTGGATAATCTCCTCACAGATGAAGAGAAGACTTGCAGCAACAGAAATGTGGTTCTACAGAAGGATGCCAAGACTACCATAGAATGAACATATGAGCAATAATAAAGTTTTAGATAAAATGGAAACAAAAAAGACACCTATATTTACAAGAGACAGTTGAAAATTATAGGGCTTATAATAAGGAAAGAAGGCTTGGAAATTTTGATACCCACAGGACAGATTGAAGGCAAGAAAGACAGAGGAAAACAATGCATAACTTACCTAGTGAGTTTGAGTAAATGGATAGTGGAACAATGTTTAGGAAAGAGGACAAAAAAGACAAAATTTGTTAAGAACTACAATGGGCAGGAAATGGTGGAAAGCCATGATCAACATCATACAAAAGATGAGGTGGGTTAACATTTTACATAAAATTCTGAGCTTCAATTTCAAAACAGATAATACCTTTAAATTGTTAAAGGATCAATATCTTGTTGATGTATTGTTGTAACCTAGGAAAAGGTTACTGAATAAGAATAACCAAAACGAAGGTTAGAAATGGAATGATAATATTTATAACAGGAACAACAAACAAAATTTGCCAGCGGCATGTAGTAAGTAATCAACTGCTAGTGGTGAGCTAGAAGTGAATCAAGATGAGTTGCATGACTACTATGTACAGTATATTCTGCTGTATTTATATGGATTGGGACATACTCATTATAGTCCATAGGTATGGTATAACACGTATGCAGGTAATCAAAAAGAAGAAACGTGTTTCATACTATTCATTACTGCTAAAGTAGATGAGTTAAAAAATGTTTATCATTTTTTAAATTGATTGTATTTTTTTTGTTTTTGCTGTATTTTTATAATTGTTTGTTGCTTAGTTTTAGTTGTTCAAGAGAAAGAAAAGCTAAATTTCATGAACTACAAATGTTTTTAGGCAAGAGAACTACCAAAACTTGTCTGTTTCATTGTTCCAACTTATTTATTTCAGAATGCACAGACACACACACACATACAATAATTTACACCAAAACAAAACGATGTAGCAAGTCAGCTACTAAATTTCATGTAAATGTGTGATCATCTGGTATTAAACTATAAATTTCATAACCAACAAAGTGTCTAATTTAGCAATTTGATGTTAAGGATTTTTGTCCATCTCTTAATGAGAATGTGTTGACACAAGCTTTTGATTTAGCAAAGCAGTACAGTCATTAATGAACAGCCAACTGAAATTATTTGACTTTACCATAGGTCATTATTTCATAAGTGTGGGTCAGTATAACTTTAATGTTATTATGAGAAGCTATGATAGAGCTACATTATATAGACTGTTAGGAATTCTTATGCTATTTGCGTTCATACTGGATATTGCAGGTAGTAAAATTCTTAACAGCTCAGAATGAGAAATTGACATACAGAGTTTTAAATTTTCATTAAGTTTGATGCATTCACTTTTGCACAAGTATCCTTGAGAAAGATCTGAATTTATCTCTTCCCCCCAACTATGGGTTAAACAGCAGGCAGAGTTGGCTGGGCTCTCTAGTCATGGTTGGCAACCAGTCTCTGAGAAGGACAACTCTGAATTCAAAATCATAACATGCAGTTATATAAAAATATAAACTGTATAATGACACATGGACATAGGATGCAGATACCATGCCTGTAAAATAGATGCACTGGAAAGGGATTATCCAGAATTGTTTTAACATTGCTGGGCATTGGGAACAATGATGGTGTCATAAGTTAACACAGTTGAGAAGAGGGATTTTGTACAGAGATGGTGGTTAGTAATTTTTAACAATTGCAATGGAAGAAATACATGGATTTGATTAGAAAAAAGAATTATAAGAAGTTTTGAAGAGGTAGGGTTTGCATTTGAAAGAGTTGAAATTCTGATATAACATGATATCTCAAAAATAGGTTTTACTACAGGCTGTACAAGAAAATGGAGAACACTTCTAATCATTCTCCTGTTACTTTCAAGTTTATTTCAGTATCCCTCTATAGCAGAATTTCAACCAATTTGTTTAGTAAAATTGTTTCCATTGAGAAAAAGTGGTTACTCTGTCAATTTAAAATTTAATAGTGAAATAGAGCAGAAATACAACAAAAATTGTCCTTTGGTTTATCTTGCCTTCTAATAAGGCAGTGAAAACCACTGTAATAAAAACATATTGTTGGGGTCAGTTGAGAAACATTTCCTAGTAACAATCTTGTTATATAAATTGTTTAAAAGAAATACCCTAAAACTGCATTATTGCTGTATGGATAAAATCATTATATTTGTCTTGATAAAGTCCATCAGAGGATGAAATTCATCGGTTAAGATAAGTTTTCTTTTCATCTTTATTCGTATTGTTCTTTTACAGATATATTTTTAGTTATATCTGATATATATATATATATATATATATATATATATATATATATATGAGAAGAGGTATTGTAACTATATTTACACTATTTATATTGTTTGGACTGTTGCCTTCATCATTGTCATTCACATTTTGTGAGTTCATTACTTGGCTACAGCAGAGGTGAACAAAAACTTTGATAGTTGAGTTACTAAAGGGGATTAACTGAAAACTGAGATATCCAAAAAAGGCATGGCATGTAGAACTAGAACAATCTACCCCTGTGGACTAAATAAAAGTTTTGGTTTGAAATTCCAACGTATGTCACCTGAAGAAAACCAAGGTGTACAATAGCCGAAATGTGAATATGACAATAAAGTTGAGGACAACAGTCTGAACAATGTAAATATATATATATATATATATATATATATATATATATATATATATATTACCACACACAAGTAAATTACCCACTATAGAGTGGAAAATAGATATTGAATAGAAAAATGTGCTCAATGTCTGATAAAAAATTCTATATATATTTTATTGTTTGTAATTAAATAATTAAAATTTATTTAGTAAACTAATTTTGTTTTAATTTTTTATTTTATTTTGGGATGTAAAGTTTGTGTACAATGGAGCTGATTATATAATCGCAAAATAAATGGTAAATTCTATATATGATTTGATTCTATAAATTCAAGCTGAAGTAATCTTGACAAGAAATAGGCGTGTTTAGGCTTCTTAGTCTGATGTTTGATAGAGGAGAAATGGAAGTGAGAGAAGCTTTTCTTTTATTGTGTTATACAGCAGCTATTCCATATTTGTATACCAAACAATGTTAGCATAGAGATTCTTTTAAGAAACAAAAATAATCAAATGTAGCAACATTCATCATTATTTTATTTATTTTTAAACAATGTTCTTGGATAAGCAAAATAAATTGTATCTAAAAAAAAAAAGAAAAAAACAAGTAATCATTGGTTGATAGAAATTTAGAAAAGACATTCTTTTCTCATTAATATTTTTTACTTTATTAAAGTTTACCCTATTAATACAGATTGATGTGTAGCGTAAAAGTTACTGGTGTGGAATGAAGAATCCATGATCTGAGGTATAATAGATTCATACCTTTCCCAAGGTATGAATCCCTCTATTCTCCTCTCAGCTATGGGTTAAATAAGAGGTGGTCTACTCTGGATTAAAAAATAATGGGGAAAGTAGCAGGAAACCACACTATCATTTCCAGAAACTCATGGCAATTTACAGACAATAAAGAAAAGGAATCTGTTGAGTCATGATCACCTATAACCTGAAATGACATGGCATTTAAAAAAAAAAAAAAATTTTAATAGGTACGATGGACCCTCGAGATGTAGACAATAAAAAGCAAACTCAAGGGTTACGGCGACCGTTTGGCATTGCTGGTAAGTAAATAGTACATTGATTTTTATTTTTTTTTTATTTTTATTTTTTTTTGTGCCACATTTTGGCTGTATCATAGAAACAATTTGAAAGAAATTAACAATATTATAACTTGAACTGTTGAGACAAAAGATCATACAATAGAATTGAAACTATCAATCTTGGAAGTTTTAACAATCAGGGGTATGGGAAAAGTTTAGAAACAAGTCAAAAATATACATTTTCATCTCACCTCAATCTTTTTACTTGTAAATAATTAAAAAATTAATTGCAGTTGTGTAACTTGTCATCGATAATGTTTGTAAATTGCTTACTTTAAAAGTTCTGTATAAAGCATTGTTATGGAGATATTTGTACTGAAACAAGCTGCTTGTTACAAATCCTACATATTTATTAAATGAATGATCAAATGCGTAGAAAGTGCATCTGTTAATTTCCTATGTACTTTGAAATAGTTTTTTGCATTGAAAGATAGATTAAATGAAATTACTTTGTAGAAAATAAAACCTAGAATAACCATAGAGCAAAAACTGCCACAGATTTTAGTATTTTTCATATTGATTATAAGATTTTCAAAATTCAATCGGATTATAAAAAAAAGCAAAATCCTCTATAAGAATATTTTGCAGGATTGAAAGATTATTTCCTTACAGTGGTAGATTTCATTTTATCAGTGCAAGATTGAAAACTGAAATGAATGTTTTTTTGTATTTGTAACTTGGTGTGTGAATATAATATGACTGATGCTGTGCTGACAGCAGCAGCCAAAGCATAACTTTTGGGTGCAGATCCATAATCTCTTGAGACTAATGGATGCCACATTATTACAGTAGTGTAGCATTTGGATATTTAGTTATGACAATGAATCCAGATGGCTTTGATTAGTGACCTATGTTCATGGATTTAGGAAGCTAGTGAAACCGATAGTGTCTTGTTTGTTTTTCTTGCCTAGAGTTTGAGTGTCTCCTTTTCTCTCCACAAGTCCTTAACATAGTTCAGGCCTACTTGCTGCACTTTAACTGGGTTAAGTTATACACTACAAATAGTATTTGAAACAAAAATGGAGAAAAGTGGAAAATGCTTATAAAGTATGCATTTCACAAATGTGGGTTGGGTTCAGCTTCTTCCGGTCAGAATGAAAACCAAAACTGTATAAGGGAAATGCCTTGGGATTTCTGAGGATAAGTGTGGCAAGAGTTTACCTTATCAGATCTGGTGACCAGGAAACAAAGTGTTTGCCTTTTATATGTATATATTAGAGCCGTTGGTGTCTTGGATTTTAAATCAGCTCTCTTAGAATGGATCTCTGATTGGGCTGATTTAAAATTTCAGACACCAATGGCTCTAATATATGCATATAAAAAAAAACAACCACTTGCTGTTTTCTGGTTATCAGATCTGATGAGGTAATTTAATTTATCCCTCTTTTTATCAACAAAAATTCCAATGTGTTTTCCTCCTTTTCTTTCCAACCTGAGGAAACCAAACTCTTCACACATTGGCAAAACACATCATTTATAAGCTTTCCCACTTTGTTTCATCTCCACATAAATTGGTGTATGTGAAACCATGCATTGAAATTGCTTCTTTTTTCTTCCCCTATGAGAACAATGGCTACAGATTGAGGTTTGGCATGAAATCACAGTAATAAGACACTTAAGAGGATCCAACTCTATGCTTACAAATTAGTCTGGGGAAACACAATTTGCTAACTACTGTACTACATTAGGCATCCAAGAATACAGATTATTTTAATTTTTCTTTTATTTCTTCTCTCTTTTATAGATTTGTATTCATAATTAACTATCACATGTATTAAAATGTGTTAATTTTGTGCTTTTTCAAATGTAAATTAACTTTCTCTTCCTTTTAACTGTTCTCAATGAAATATTGAATAAGATTATAGAATAGTTTTAAATTGTTATAGTTTAATTATTATTTTATATTTACTTTGCTTGATAGCTTTAGATATCACTGATGTGATTCAAGAGACCCGGGAAACTAATGAAGATACACAAATTTTCATTCCTTTTCATCCGTAAGTAGAAGTTAAATTCCTTTTTGAGAAGCATCTTGCATTGTTTATCACCTTTCTATATTTGTGTAATTCTGTTACATTTTGAAAAAAAAAAATTGTATATCTTTATAAATTGTCAGTGACTTTACAATCTCTCAAAACGAAATGACTTCTGTATGTGACTATGAGTAGAACATCCACGTTTTTTTTGTTTTTTTTTATTATTTCACCTCAAACAAGGCAGTAATGCCATTAAAATGCAAGGGGCTACCGGGAGTGAAAGAGAATGAGAAAACTTTAGAAGAAACTGAAAACAAAGGATAAACCTCTACTCCTGTTTCAAAGACGAGGAAGGAATGTGAACTGGGTGATAGGTGAACATGTCTTCTTCTCCTATTGAAAAAAATAAAATAAAAATGTAACAAATAAAAGAGGAAAGTGATTTTTATCTCAAGTGTTTGTTTCATGATGAGCAACTGGAATCTTCTAAGTGGCATGCACTTGTCTAAATGAGAACAAATAAGTAAAAGCATTTGGGGTCAAGTGACAATAAAGCTGGGCATTGATTTTCAGTTGCTAGACTATATTAATGGTCACAATTGGGATTGAATAGCAAGTTCTGGTCCACCCTTGGCAGAGGACTGACTGCCTATTGAGTAGTTCCGTTGCCAACCGTTTATATTGCTAGCCACACATTGTAATGCGCAGATGGACAGAGGGAAGAGCTGAGCTGTTAGACTGACATAACAGTTGTCCCAACTATCATCTACTTAAATGACTTAACAAGTCCTGAATAAAACATAAAAATATATTATAAACAGTCCGAGTCCACATTTTTTGATGTGGCATTTGTTTTCATCTTTTATTTCTCCATAACCATGCAGTAGGACTTTCTCAGTTTTTGGCATATACCAAGGGGAACAAGATTGGAAACGCAACATGGAGAAGTCATTGGCCAGTTGGTGGAAAGCTCCTATTGCATACTTACTTGTAGACCTCTTTAATCTTTTGTTTGGATTTTTGTATAATGTTTTTGTATTGATTACAGAACTTTGAGAATAGTCATTAATAGGTCCATCAATTGGACACTCAGATCATTTCATATATTTGCTGTTGTTGAAACAGTATTTTGGTCGATTCTGTCTTCAGCTCTAATCTATAAGAAAAAGGAAACTTAAAATTCAAAAGCAGGAAAATTTTTGTTAGAAACAAAGCAAAAGTTGCTCAACTTCTATGTAATATCAATCCTCTTATATGGCAATGAATGCTGGACAATTTCCTCATAGGTGAAAAGACTTGAAGCAACAAAGATGGGGTTCTACAGAAGGATGTTGAGAATACCATGGACAGATAAGCAATGTGGAAATTTTAAGGAAAATGGAAACAAAAAGGGCACTTATACATAGAAAGATAGAGTTAAAGCTTTTTGGTCAAATAATAAGGAAAGAGTGCTTGGATAATTTAACACTCACATGATATATTGAAGGTAAAAAATGACAGGTGGAATCATTGAGTAATTTACCTAATGAGTGTAAATGGATGGCGTAACAGGGAGTGGGAAGGATAGTAAAAAAGAAAAAAGTTGCATAGAGCTACAAAGGATAGGAAGTTGGGAAGAGTCATAATTGTCCACCTCCTGAAGGCACTTAGCACAAAGAAGAAGAAAACTTAAGTAAACAACAGGTGTCAAAATTGTTCCTTAATGTAATCACTAGACAGGCTGATAACCTGTAAAAAAAGCAAATCAATCAATATACAGCTTAAGAGAGACAAAGATAATTCCCAAACATCAATTTTGCAAAGCAAAGAAAATCCCAATTTTGAAATTCATGCTAGCCCGACTCATGAATTAGGTTGACAGACCAATATATATTGCATCTCCTTCAGATTCCTCTCTGCCCAAATTTAGAAGTTTTGTCAATTATCTGGACTTTATTCCGGGGAGGGTAATGTACACCCATCTCTTTCCAGATATGATTCATCAAAACAAAATTTTCCACCTCATCTTTTGTTATGGCTTTCTTTTTTTTCTCAAGTCTGACTTTCGGAGAATGGTTGGTTTCTTCCTTTTTCTGATTCAGAATATACACAAAGTATATCATAAATATAGTGATTATCAGGCTTTTTTTCTCATAAGGAACCAACTCTAGTAGTAAGATTTCAAAGGGTGGATTACCACCGTGATCTTGACAAATCCTTTGGATATGTTCTGCTGTCCTCTTACATAAGAAATATTTCCTGAAGCTACTTTGTCAGTTGTACTGGACATTCTTTTAGAAAAAAAAATCAAGGATGGATAATTGTTGTTGGAGGGTGCAACTAATATCCTTTAATTCTTCTTCCAGCTTTGTTGGGTCACTGGTGATGTCTTGCTGCTGAAGGCAACAAACCAGTGATTTCCTCTCACAGAAGAGATGGTTGGACTAAAAATCCAGATATGGCTTCATATGCAGAGATTGTTTTATATATGCTTCTGCTATATCCTCCATTGGTTTGAGTAACCAGGACATACGAAAGTATGTTATTGTATTCCTTCTTCATTGAAAAATTGAAAAATGTATGCAAGATCAAAATGTTTACATGGTGAAATGGCACTTGTATGTCTTCCTGATGGGGGGTCATAGAATTAAAGTATTATCTACTTACCTAAGCCAAAACAATAGCTTCAAATTTATGTAAATATTGGAGATCACTGGGGCCAGTGGAGATCCCATAGCTAAACCTTTTCTGTGATGATAGATATCAGGTTCAAACTAGAAATATGTTCTGCTTATAGAAATGTTTTCAGTGGAGATGCTAGCAAGAGTCCTCAAGCCTGTCTATTTCCCTGTCATGGGAGTTTCTTTGGGCCAGAAGTGACATAAATTGTTCTCCACATACTAGATCGGAGAGGGTGCTCACTCCAACCCAGCATCATTGCCTTTTTTATTGCACTAAGAAGTGGGGGTCAGTGTAATATCTAAATCAGCATGACAGTGGTTGCAGGGATTGGACAATTATTGTCCTTGGCCCATATATCTATGTGTATTGGCTTCCCACGTAAAAAAATGACTTCATTTTCACATCCTTCCTTGACCTATATCGTTTTTCAGCTTCTCATGCAGAATATTTTAATTTTTTAATTCTTTCCCAAGCAAGGCAATAATGCCACTAAGACACAAGTGGCTACTAGGAGAAGACTTTAGAAGGAACTGGAAACCCAATTCTAAGCAGGAAACAAAGGATAGAACCAGATGATAGGCAGACATATCTACTCCTATAAAATGTAAAGTTTTGTTTGTAGGTAGCTTATTAAATCCTATATCTGCATCAAAACTCACACTTGAAGACAAGATGAGCACCTCCTCACCATGAAGCAAACTGAGTTTCACATATTAGGAAAGGGGTTTTGTCAATCAAGAAGCAATTCAAAGGGTGACATACAGTTTTCTGCAATTTACTAAGGCCTTAATACTACATCGTCTGTGTCTATTTTGTCTAAATAAATAGAAGTTTACTATGATGTTGTCATAACTGTCATAGTCCTTGTTCTTTAGAATATAAAGCAGTTTTCTTCCTGCAATTAAGGTAGGATATTTGTTTATCTTATTACTCATAAACGCTATTATGGCATAAACTTTGTCTTCATACATACAGGGTGTGAGAGGTAAATTATCGCCATTTTGTATTTTTAATTTCATGTATGCATGTTGTTGGTTTTCAATTTTGTTGGCTGAACAGTATAGTAGGGTCAGTTGGGCACCATCTCTGAGAAAAAGAGCACCATGGCACAATTCACTCTGCCAGAAATTTGAAAACAGCAGGCTGTACTGCTTAGAATTCATGTTGAATGTTTGGGAGTCAATCTGAGGACAGTGCAGAATATTTGGAAAGAGTTGGATGGTATATCCAGTCAACATCATGGTGTTTGGCATGATCACTAGTGATGGTGATGTTATGCCTCCATTCACCTTCCCACAGGGCCTCAGACTCAACATAGAAACCTACATCAAATGCCTTGAGGTAGTGCTGTCTTGGGTCAAGAGGGTGGTTGCTGGAAGACTCCGTCTGGCAACACAAGCAGGAGAACCAGTCATGGCTGTCAAACAATCTCTGTGACCACATCACCCCTTACATCTGGCCACCTAATTTTCCAGATTGTAACCCCTTTGATTATTATGTGTGGGTCACAGTTGAGTGAGAAATCAGCAAAACTCTTGTAAAACCAAAGATGAATTGAAGACAAGGATTATGGCAGCATTCACCAACTGAAACAAGGAGGCTGTCTAGAACAGGGGTTTTCAAACTTTTTGACTTGCGGACCCCTTTCTATTTCAGGCTTTACCTTAGGGACCCCCTTATAAATGCTTATGAAATTTATACATAAATATTTGCTGAATATAACATATAATTTTGCAATAAGGCAAACACCTAACAGCCAATGAGAAAGCCGGAAATTACAAAATAGATCCAAAATTCAAATCCTTTGGTTCATTCTCTGCATGAATAGAATCCATTATCTTTATCAATTTAAGATACAAATTATATTAGTATATCAAATCTATGAAATAGTTTATTGAATCAATTTATTTTATGATCGGCCTATAAGTTACTTATAAGCGCTTATAAGTTGCACGTCACCCATCTTGTTCTTGTGGACCCCCTGTGGTCCGTGGACCATAGTTTGAAAACCCCTGGTCTAGAAGAGTTGCTGTGGTTGATGCCAATGAAAATTTTATTGAATAAATTTACTCTTTAGTATTTCAAGATATTTTTGTGTAATTTTTGTAAATAATATCTGTTAAAATGAGATGTCAGTGTTATTTTCATTTTTGTGTAATTTAGACGACAATTTATTCATCGCACCCTGCAGTTCTATCCCTTGCTACAGTTGTGTTTTTTTTTTATCTGCTTGTACTGTTACAATTATTTATTTGTTTTTCTGCTCTTCATAGAGATCTAAATGTTACCTTCTTTTCATGGGTGATATTTAATATGGGTTGGGTAAAATTCTTCTTCAAAATCTATCTCTCCCTTCATTTTATTTATTTGTCCAAGTTGTTTGTTGATTATTTTCAGATGTGGTGAACGTGAATTCCTTGAGACCATGATTAAGAAAACAGACAAAGAATTCAATCATAAAGGTCAAGGTTTCTTTGTGTCTATTAAGATCTTGCAAGGAGATCTACAACAGGTAATTTAGAAATGGAATCACCTTTTTTTTCTTTTTTTTTTTTTTTTTTTAAAACATTCATTTAAAATGCTTAAACTTATTGAATACATATACAATAAAAATGTTACTTATGTGGAAAGTATAACAGGTAGGCCACACCTGTGTTCTATTCAATGTATTTATTGTTGAAGTCTTATCTGGATCATTTCTTTACTTTTTAAAATCCTCCAATTCTTTAGAAAATGCTTATTTAGCAATCTTTAACACATTTTCAACTTATTAAAATCAGTCTTATTTACATAGATAAATGAAGCGTCATAATTAAAAAGAAAAAAAGCATTTATTTTACAACAATATTTCCTTTGTCAATGTGCTTAACCAAATGCTTCCCCATAAATCATTATACATTAAGCATTTCAGGTCAAATTTAATCTGATAACTTTGTCCAGCTATGAACTTGTATTCAGATACATCTAAATTCAAGCTTATGGTCATATCACGTTGAAACACCAGCTCTTGTACAATCACTGAAGTTAAATGCCATTGAGTCTGGTCAGTACTTAGGTGGGTGACTGCTTGGGAATACAAGGTGTTGTAAGCTTGGATGTGTAAGTAATAGATAATGGCTTGGAATTGGAAATCAGTGCTGTGTTCCAATTCCATTCGGGTTTGTTATATTTGTTATGTGCAAATATTCTTGGGAAAGGTATGAATCCACCTCTTCTCCCTCCAGCTATGGGTTAAATAGTAGGACTTGTATCAGTAAATTGTTATTACCTCAAAAAAAATTCTTACAATATAAAAATGTTCTGGCTTTAAATAACCTGCAAAAGATTGATAAGCCATAAAAAATACATGTAAATTCTGAATAGATTTTAACTTTAAGCAATTAATAATCAGTTAGTTTATTATAAATATGAGCATCTAAAATTAAGGTTCCTAAAGTATACCTGTATACTGCTGTCCTTGAACTAATTTCTATTGGATGTATTAATTTTGAGAAAATATTCAAAATGACTCTTTCCTTTTGAATAGTAACATTTAAAATTGTTTAAAGGCTATGCTTAATTACAAATTTGTGAAACAACAGTTTCATATTATTTATTTCTTCAAATTGATAAATTTGACTTGAGTTTTTCAGATTCTGAATCATTTTTTTTTCTTTTTTAAGAAGTGATGATACTGTAGTAGTTATTTATTTAATTTAAAATTGTGGTTGGCATTTTTTGCTTTTTGTTAGGTTTTGGTAAAAATGTTCTGATATTTTTGAAATGTTAATGATTATAATTGTCCACTTAATATTTGTAAGAAATAGTCACTCCACAGTCAATATTTTAAAAAATGTTCATAAAACTAAATATTTCCTGACATTGATTCCTTAATTGTAAACCAGAGGAATTCTGGTATTTTAGAATGTGATTTTTTGGAAAGGAGAAATTTGCATGATAGAATATATATAATAACAGGTTTTTAGATTTCTTGTACTTTCAGGAGATAAGTGCCCGGTTAATAAAAAAAAACTTCTGAGTTCAGTTGTTGAAATGATTTATATATACATTCATATATATTTACACATGCAGATCTGGGATGATTATCCTCACCTAGTTTTACCTGGAACAGCAGTCTCCCGTAAAATGGGATTTCCTGAAGTGATAATGCCAGGTAGGTAGAATATTTTTGGTAGGTTCAATATTAATTACCTTTAGTTAATCATATTTTCATTTCGTTGATTACCAAATGAGACATGGCAAGTATCTCTCTCTCTCTCATAATGTACACACACACACACACACACACACACACACACACACACACACACACACTGTGTAGGTAATTATGGTCCTCCTCCTCCTCCACTTTTCTTCTTATCTATCCTTCTTTATACATATGTCAACATTTTGCAAGTGTAATCATTATATTTTCTCACCATGTACCAATACAATAAGAGAAATATTCTTTGAGAAATCTCATGATTTATTATTTTCTTCAATCATTTACTTTCTCTTAGGTGCCTAATACGAGTGTGGTGGCTTAATAATTAGGTGGGGAGGTGACATTTTTCTCAGTGTAATAAATGTGGGTGGGGAAGGTCTTAATAAAAGAAGGAATTAGAAAATGATTTAAAGGATAACAAATTTAGAATGTAAGTAAAAACATTTTTTTATTAAAAAAAAGAAGTTTATCCAAAAATGGAATGTGATAATTTTGGAAAGGTAATTTTAAAAAAAAAAATTTTTTTTTTTAGAAAGACAATTAAATCATAAAAACGTTCAAGTAAAAACTTGGACCGACTAAAATAATTACTGTATTCTCTTTGATTTTGGGGGAAAAGCACGAAATTAATAAATGGGGTCGTTTTAATAAGCTCACGTGTGGGCCTTTGAAAAAAAAGAAAAAAAAGTCTCCCATTATTTCTATTTAGCGCCTCGCAGTAAAATTTATCATGGCATCTCATTCTCATTTTTATCAAAATGATTAAAGGGAGACAACTCAATGAATCACATGAACAAGGAATAACATATAACGATACAGGTTAGATAGTGTTGAAGTGTTGCTTTTCTTCAGACAGTCCTTCATGTAAATGCCATAAATTCCACTATGTATTCTAATTTCTACAAAGTATTGTTTTCATAATCATAATAACTTTACCATAAAACTATTACAGATTATTTTTCTGTAGAAAAAAGTTGATATTTAATAAACCCTATGAGGGTTTAATTTATTCTTGAATGCTCTCTAGATGATAATTGCTGTCGAAATTACATTTACAAATTTTGTTCCTCTATTGATTTGGGCATTTTGGTTGAATGAATATAAATGGTGGCAGCTTGGAGAATGCTAAGTTAACGTTTTCATGATTACACTTTTAGAAATGGATTTTATTATCTTACATTAAGTAGTATTGGTATGGCTTAGTTGAAATGCTGTGCTGATAATTTTGACAGTCTAAAATACAAGCACTATAATATTGTTGGCACTACTTAAATTAACTGGTCTGCTTATAAAAAATAGGTAAAAGATATAGGGGAATAATAATACTGTTACAAATTGGGAAAAGTACATCAGTAATACGTAGTTATCAGTGATGTAAGTAGAGTATCAATCTTGACATTTGTAAATAAAAACAAAGTACAGATAACTCTGATCAGTTTGACATTGTATTTATATTATGAACAAGATTCCTCTTCTAAAGTTCTGAAATAAAATTCAATATTTTTTGATCTGACAAAGGAAGGTCTACTGAATGCTAAGGGGAAAAAATTATTTCTCTTAACAAATTCTTCTTTTTAACTAACATACCAGTTAATTTAAGGAGTGTTATAGTGTCAAATAAACTCCCTTTATCCTGTGAGTCATTGGAGTATCTTTAACTTGGCTATTGGTGAAGTGTATCTCAGGTATTTTGCAATCTTTTAAGGTCTTCTTTTAAGTCTACTTTTTGGGTTTTATGTAATAGTTTTTGACCTTCTTATAGTGGCTTACCATGTAAAAGTATAAAGTTTTCACCTACCCTGACTTAGAAAAGATTTTTTTTTTCTCAAAGTTAATGGTTAATGAGCCACATCCATAGAATGTGGGACCTCTATTCCCAAAACTTAATAAAAGACATAAAAACCAGTGTCAGTAAAGCCATAGTGCTACCCATCCTTCTGCATGGTGATGAATGCTGGATCATATACTGATGCCTTGTTTACATCAGCATTGCCTCCACACCATTCTGAAAGTGCATTGGAGCTATTTCATCACTAATGCTGAAGTTGAAGACTTAACCAAAATCCCAAGTGTTGAAACAATGCTGTAAATACTCAGCTGTGGTGGTCAGGTCATATGATGGAAACGGAGGACTATAATCTTCCAGAAATGCTCCTATTAAAAGAACTAGTCTGTACATAACACAAGTTTGACCCTAATGAATAGATACAAGGACTTCTTTGAACTCAGCCACTGTTATTGGACAACTGATGTAGGTGAATCAATCCAGACAAAAGAAGAAAAGGCAGACTTCAAGTCCAGAACACCTGGTTGGCTGCCAGACGTTCTCCTGCAACCAATGTGGAAAAGTGTCTTATAATATAGACCTTGAAAGCCTGTAACAGATATGGAAAACCCTCTGAAATCTTCATTTGCAAAGCCAAGCCATTAAAATGTTCAGATTACCTGTGCCTACTCTGTTAATAATTGTGATTTAAATGTTCACTGCTAAAAACAGTTGCTTGTATTTTAAGTCTAAGAGTTGCTAGTGCTTTAAATATTTGAATGCCTTTTAATTTAAAACTTATTTACAGCTTAATAATGGCCTGAAAATTGATATGGTTTTCCTTATTAAATACTGATTTGAAGATATGCATTTTGTTGAATGATGAGACTGTCCAGAAAGAAATTGATTGAAACCAATATATGAAGGATGCTCTGAAAGTAATGCCTCCAGCTTATTTTTATGGATACTGACAAACTAACACCACTGGAAAGAGAGCAAGATCTCAACTGCAAATCACCCCCCTCCCATCACAGAGCCACCACCATTGTCTATACATTTTTGCCAGTGATGAACAAGATGCCACATGCATAAAAGTCTGCACCAGCAGAGGTGACCTACTTTCACACACATTGCTGAAATGCATTACCCACTGCCAGACTGTACTCGTATCTATGGTTTGGTCTCTGTAAACATTTGGCAAGTGTTGATCAAGGTTAATGGGTACTGTTTTTTTCTGTATTGATGAAATTCATAGTACACCTCTTTAATATCATGTCAGATACCATTTTGCCAGAGTGCTGCTAAGTTGCTATATGTAACAACTTCATTATCCCCAGCATCAACCTCTGGCATCGTAGGTCAACTTAATAAAATAGGAGGTATTACTTTCAGAGCAACTCTCGTATATGCCATATTTTGTTAATGCTTTCTACAAGCTTATTATGGACTAATCTGAGTAGCCAAGTTGCATGTCCCTTTCTTCTTTCTATTGTCTGCCAAAGTTCTGTGACTGGGAAGTAACAAGATGAAATATTCTGTCTATACTGTTTGAGGTTACTATTATTTAACTTATTGTAGCTTAAGAAATTACCTGCTTAAAAATATTAGATATGTGTGAGATATATTTGTTTACTTTTAAATACACAAAATACTGTAATCATTTGTCTATAAGTTTGGAAAGATTCAACATAATTATTTAGATGCTCAAATATCTTTGTATTTTTACTGATTTTTTTAACACTATTTCTTTTGTCTTATGCAATGCCCAAAAGCCATTTACTGAATGAAGTCCTTTTATGGATGTCAGAAAAGGAGGAGGTACGAAATGCTGATGATGAAAATAGTTAGGATAGATAACAGTTGACCCAAGACTTGAAAAGGTTAAGATTGTAGTGATTTGGGAAGCATCCTCTTCTGAGTCTGTTTCACAAAGAGTCAGCTCTCTGAAAGAAACTGTCTGCATGGTAATTTCTTCTTACCATTGAAATATGAATGGAATGAGGATGATTCAGTCCTGTGTACATAGCTAGGTGCTTTGTTAAAGTCCCTCAGAGGATGCAATGCATTGTGTCTTAGTTGTAAAGGTCCAAACTACTGGAACTAAGGAACGTAACTCGTCAGAACATTTTGAATGGAAAAGCAATAGAGTTGCAAGAGGCTTGTAATGTTGTATCTGTAGGAAAGGAGTTGTAAGATTGAAAATAATTTATCACCCATAAGGCCATGTAGATGATTTTGAACTCTGTTAAGGATGAAAAGAGAGGATTATATAGCTCCAATCTAGATGTAACAGCAATATTCCATTTTTGGTCTGATTTGTCTCTTGTAAACATAGAGCATTTCAGGAGGAGTCAGATATCTTCTGGAGAGGTATGAAGACCCCAAAATCTTCCAAGCATCTTTAGCAGTGGATGATCTACAGGAGTTCCACTTGAAGAAGTCTGGAGTGAACTTGACTCAGTAGATATTCAAAGCAATTAGCTTCTTTGAGAATGGAACCATTCACAGTGACTGGTAAGAATTCAATGTCAGTTCAGGGATGATGTTTATGATAAGTTACTAGCTTTGGAGGTACTGAAAGATACAAACTGGGTTTTTTGTCCTGTTGGGCTGTTAAAGTTCAGCCAGAAGAAATATCATTTGCTGGGTTCTGGTCATCTAGATTTTTGGCTGACCCACTAATTCAACTCTGTTCAGATCTGAGGACAAAAAAGAAGACTTAAAACTTCAGATAACAGGCAACAGAATTGTCCATTAATATACTCACCAGACAAGTATATTTTAACACAAAATGCTCAAGATATTTTAAATTCCCCTCTGGTGGTTGGGAAGCTCCCAAACACTAACTTAGCAAAGAAAATCATGTACTGAAATCTATACTAACTGTTTTGTGCATCAGTTCAACAAATATCTACTCCCTCTTCAACTTCCTCTCTTTACAATGATGCTCACTGTTATCTGGACTTTGCCCCCAGAGAAAGTAGTCTCTCTCTCTCCAGATATGACCCACCATACCATATTTTTCCACTTCACCTTTACTTACAGCTTTCCTCTGTTATAGCCTGAATTAAAGAGGGCAACTAATTTGGATGTTCTTACCAGGAAGCAGTATTCAGCACTAGCACATTCAAAAGAATCTATGCATATAGAACTATATAGAAATTTTGAGTTGAACTAACCCTTCTTTGTTGCCTTCAGCTCCTGAATGCAAGGCATTAACAGAAACTGAACAAAGCTGGACAAAGTATTAAAGCTCCCTAAAATGTAAGATCCATCCTGTGTTGTTCTTAGGATGAGGAATTGGAGGATAACTCACAGTATGTTTATTTGGATTCAACAAACGGTCCTTATATAAGAGGGACCATAGATCATCTTTCAAGGATTTATAAATGTTGTTGCAAAATTAGAGTAATATTTAATACTAAATCTTTGCAACAATCTTATTTGAGTTAATCCTTTATAAGAGAATCATTTGATTAAAAATGTGTAATATATTTTGCATATATGATAATGTATATAAAAGGGGAAACCAATTGTCTTCTTAAAGTCAGTCTTGAGGGATACAAGCATGGACAGATTATCCTTTAGGCTAGTATAGGCTACAGCCAAAGGTCCCTCAAGCTTTTGTAAAGCAATGATTTTAATTCTTCTAAATAATTTCATAAACTGAAATATCAATATGACAAACTCAGGTTTATTTTAATTGCTTTATTGTTAATGCTGGTTATAATTTTTTTTTCTGCAGATGTATTGAAATATGTGCCAATTTAGTTTGCAATAAATAGGAAAATATTAACATTTCTTAAAGAATATTTTTATTGTCAAACAAAAGCTAGCTATTCCAGTTTATTTAAAGAATTTGCAATAAGTTTACTTCAAGCTATGAAAATGTCACTAAAATATATCATGAGTTAAAAAAAAAAAGTACTGGTGTGGGTGAGTTAGGTGGCTCTATCTGAGTTTGGTGCCCATAGTTTCATTAGTTTAGGGGCCTCAAAATACCATAATCTGGCCCTGGATACAAGTCATAATTAAAAATGAGTTTTGAAAAATTTGTTATGATGGGGACTGTACTTTATAGCAAAAGGGTATAGTTTGGTATCATTTATGGACTTGAAATTGTAAAAAATATATTAGTTTGGCAGATAATTCTATTACCTGTTATCTGAAGATACCTTTTTCTTATGGATTAAGTTTGGAGAAGGCTGAAGAATAGATCAGCTGACAAGATTTTGGCATCTGAATAATTTATTGTATAAATATTGAAATCATTTCCAAACTTTTGTGTCTTTGTTTGGAATCATTAAGATACAATTTTGTAACATGCAGCCTATATTTAATATATAAAATATGAAGAACATTAAAGAAAGAAAAATTATATCTAGAAAAAAAAAATGACAAGTTTAGAACATTGAAGGTACTATGAAAGAAAGATTTAAAAAGCCACTCATGTTTTCAAATATTGATTTGTAAATATTTTTTTTTAACAATGATGTTCACTTTGTACAGGGCCCAAGAGCCATTCGAGGTAGAGGGTTACAAAGTAAGAGGTACAGTTTATGGGGATATGTAGTAGAGGATAACCCTAGATTTGAACAGGCCAAGAATGTAGTGATCGGGGAAGCATCATCTTGGGAGTTAATTCCACAAAGCAGTGGTTTGTGGGAAGAATTTGGTTGAGTGGAACTTACATGTCATCAATGGAATATGAAGGTAATGAAGGATCTGAATTTTTAGTAAGTTTTAGATGGAAAGCTTATAAAATTGTGGCAAGTTTATAATTCAAATCTGCATGTCTTGTAACATTATGAATAACAACATTTCACTTGAACAGACTGAAAAGTGAAGCTGATCTAATCTTAATACTTAGGAATGCAGGGAAAAATATTACCTCATAATTGTCTCTGTTGTTTATGAGATGATAAAATTGAATGATGACTTAAAAGAAAAAAAATAACTGGTTTTAATATGTTTATTTTATTGAAGATCATGAGAAATCAAGCACTCGGAATTATGGATGATACCAGGTGCAAAGATTATCTAGCTTCTGTTGATTCACTTTATTCATTAAAGGTAACATTTCTTGTTATTAAAGAAAAACTAGCAAATAAAGTTAACTCTAATCAGAAATTAATTGATCAAAATGTCACAATTCTTATTTTGACAGTTCTATTGTAAATCGTCAGTTATAGGTTCGGATTTTAAAGAAAACATATTACAAAATCTGTGGAATAAGAGTTTTAATATTTCAGGCTTATGGCCATATCATGTAAACACGGGTTTTCATCTGATTACCAAAGTTAAGCAATGTTGAGCTTGGTCAGTAACTAGATAGGTGACTGCTTGGGAATACCAAGTGCTCTAATCACATTATCCATTACTGTCCACCCAACTAGATGTGGGGTGTGATGGATAACAGCTTAGGATGAGAAATCAGAGAACTAAGTCGAACTTCCACTTTGTTACTAATGTTCAGATACCATGAAAAAGTCATAAAAACACCTCTTCTCCCCCAGCTATGGGTTAAATACTAAGACTGACAGATTCCTATAGCCTATTTGTAAACAGTATACTGCAGAAAGTAATGGCAGCCTACTGTGGGAATTCTTCTGCCAAGTCAATCATGAATCAAAAAGAGACATGATCACCTGTCTCACGTGGCACCTAAGGAAGGAATATTTCAGGTGTTTTAATTTTTTTTTTTTTTTAAATAGATTACATTTAAGTAACCAGAATTGGAAGAAAACTTGAATGTAGCTATGGAAGTAAAGACACTTTGAGTAAGGTTACTTTGAAATCTTTAAATTCTATTTTAACTGACTGTTTTTAGGATATTTCTGCAAATATTTTGACAGTTACTCATACTTTGGCACATTATTTATAAAACATGGCATTGTGCTTCACATGTTGATTTTATGGAAGTGTTTTATAGAAATATTTTATTCACTTTAAAATGTGCCATTTTTTAAATTTATTTTACATCTCTTCTATAGGATGTCTCAGAAGTAAAAGGATTCTGTTTACAAGTGATGAACATAGTTTTTCTCTTTCTTCATTGGGTATTTGGTAAATTTGAACTTTACTCAAATCAATGTCTTTACTTTAGTTCTGTGTTTTTCATATTATTGTGAATTATATGGAGAAAAACTTGGGAAATGATGTAATTTTCTACAAGTTTTTTTTTTTCTCTTGAATGTGAAATATTTAAATTTATTAGATTATAAATATTTTAAGATTAAGTTACAAGTAAACAGTGGTGGATATACATTGAACGTCCAAGTTCTTTTTCTTTCTACTAAATATTCTTTAAACTTTGATTGAAAATATAAATTTAAATTGGAGTCAAAGATAATTTCACTGCAAGAATTTGTTACATTAATCTCTTTCTATTTTATTTTTTTAACCATGTTCCTTATTTGTGATAGAATGTAATTTTTTCTTCTATGAATTTTGTGAAGTATTTAACCATTGTCTTTAAGCCTAAATGGTGTCTGTGAAAATTTAATTGACCTAAATCCAGTCTGGTTATTATAATTTAAAGTTCAAATCAAAGAGGAACAATGTAAATTTTTGCTATGGTGTATTAGTAAATTTCAAGTTCAGATAAATTTTATTTAAAAATGTCCTCCTATTTACAATTCTCTTTATACTTGGAAAATACTTTTTATTAGATGACATGAAGTTGAATTAGAAATTTCTAATTGATATAATAGCCAACTATCTTTTTTGTCATTGGATGATTAACCAACCAACCAACTTATAGATAAAATAATTAAGGCATATACATGTATATTATTAAACAGTGGTGATTAAAAGTCAAGAATTGGAAGATAGACATTGTTTATTTATTATCCCAAAGGGAGGACATTACCTTTTAAAAAGAAATCCTCTTAATATCAGTGATATGTTATTTTTTTTTTTTTAAATTCTTTTGACTCCATTTTATAATTAAGAATTAATAGGACAGCTTATCTTGTGTATGAATAACATATTATATAAAATATTTGTAGCTAATTAGTTCAATGCTGAAAATGGTTTTGAATATACTTTGTACAATGCAGACTGTTCTTTAGAAATTTAAAAAAAAAAATGATTTCTAACTTGATGTTAATTTGGTATGATGAAAACCTTCTCTTTTGATCTTTACCATCCCTTCTTACTATAATTAGATATTTTAGTGTTGCATCTTATTTTTCTGCTTCTGTTCTGTCCCCCAAAGTGGAAGGTAAGTGGCACAATGTTCTACAAAGTTGTCATTCTGATGTTGTTGCTATTGTTTTGAGTTGAGTAGTTGAAAAATCCCCTTACTACTCACAGCATGTGATTTTAATTGCTTTACACATATTGTTAAATTTATTTTTTCTTTTTCATGTGATTAACCAGTTGTAGTCTCTCTTTTCTTTTACTGGCATGTTTTTTTAGTTTTCTTAACTAAAAACAATCTCAAGTTTTATTCTTTGGTAGCACGTTTCTGTTTATGTGATATGAAATTCACAATTCAGTATTCCTTTGTTAAATGGGAATGATAACGACATGTTTGTCATTTATGAGGTTCGATATCTATTTGAGAATATGTCCAATCTTATCTGATATTTTCAGGTTAGTTTTTAACTTATTGTCCCACTTAAATAATTTAGTCAAGGGTTATTGGATATATAATTGAATTAATTCTATCTTTTTGAGGTATTCAAGTTTCATTGACTTAGAGAAAATATATAGAATACACATCAAGAATATACTTGCATTTTCACTTGATAAGGTGGCTTTAATTTTGTGTTACTGGATTTGAGATGTTTCTCTATAAAATATAACATCTGGACCTGAATGTGGGACATGATACAAATAACAAAATGTCAAGAATTTTGGTTTGGATCAATTATCAAACTTGTTTAAATAATTATTTACACTATTTACATGCAGACTATTGTCCTTATCTTTTTTTGTTATTGTTATCCCAACCTTTCAGTACAGTATATTGGGGTCAGTTGGGCACTGTCTGTGAGAAATAAAGCACCACCACTCCACCAGAACTTTGGAAATGGAATGCTGTACTGCTTGGCATTTAAGCTCCAATCTGAACATTACAGAGTGTTTGAGTGTCAATTTGAGGACAGTGCAGAGGATTCAGAAAGAGTTTGGTGAGTCTAATGGTGATTATGAAGGTGTTTGGAGTGATCACTAGTGATGTTATGCCTCCATTCATTTTCCCACAGGGCCTCAGACTCAACACAGAGGCCTGCAGGAGGAAGTGCTGCCCTGCGTGAAAAGGGTGGCTGTTGTAAGTCCCTATGTCTGGCATCAGGACACCCAGTCATAGCTGTCAGATAATTTCTGTGACCACATCAACCCTTACATATGACCACCTAACTCCTCAGACTGCAACTTGATTATTATGTGTGGGGTATAGCTGAGTGAGAGATTAACAAAACTAGTAAAACCAGTGAACTCGAGGCAAGGATTATGGCAGCATTCATCAACTTAAACAAGGAGACCATCCAGAAGAGTTGCAGAAGATTCCAGAGTTTTCTGGCGGCTGTGGTTGAAGCCAATGGCGATTTTACTGAATATATTTACTCTTTAGTATTTCAAGATATTTTTTTGTAATTTTGGTAAATATATCTATTAAAATGAGATGTCACTGTTATTTTCGTTTTTGCATAATTTAGAAGACAATTTATCCATTGCACCCATATTGCAGGGGCACCAGATCATATGTAGCCGCAATATTCTCAGCATGGGCAAATGGTAGAATTGCTGTAAAGACACAGTTTATTAATGTATACAAAGTATATCAAATATTAACATTATATAATTAATACAGTTGTCTAATATTTAGTGTAAAATATCTGCTCCATTTTTGTAATTAGTATTTCTGTTTAATGACCTTTGTGATTTGTGAGGTTTTTTTTATTTTTAATTTCATTCTCTTCAGGTTATATCAACTGCTGTTGCAGTTTCATTTCATGTATTTTCTTTTGTTTCTTAAGCATGTATTGTGATCAGTCATTATTATTGTTGTCATCTTACTTTCTATTCTTATAGTAGCGACTTTTCTATTAGCTTGTATGTTCTTATCTTTCCTTGGCTCTTTGCATGCATTAGTGTTATTGTTGTATTGATCCCTCTATCATGACTGTTTAGATGTTGCAAGATGGGGTACACCAGTAGCTCATATATTTTTAAGAAAGTAATCAAGAGATTTAATTACTTCATTATCAGACTATTTATTTATGGATATTCAGGGAATTTAAAACAATTATTTAGTTACTTATTTTAGTGCATCTTTTTACTTACAATTATTACCACATGATGCAAACAGTAGTCAGTGCATTATTTAAACAAATTAGCCATAAATAAGGAAAAGTGCCTTTTTATAGCCATTTGTCATTTATATTATTGCCGACTGTTTTCACATTTACATAAGCAGTGAAATAATTGATCTAAATAGTACAGTTAATCAAAATAAATATTGCCTATTTTTTGCTTTTATATTTGTCAGTATTGTTCCTAATAATCAGGTAGATGGTGTTTGCTGCTTATATCCGCAAATATATATATTTTTTTATATATTTATTTAAATTTAATTAAACAATAACTTAGCAATTTATAATGCTATTCTTTATATATAAGTAGTGCTGAAAAGTCCTTGTCTTGACTAAATTTTGACATTTAGTCATTTGGTCAAAACTTTTCAGCACCTCTTTGGAAGCTGAATGGATAATACATTAATTGTTGATTACTGACTTCATTTTATTTTTATTTTACAGTAATATTCACCCAGTATAAGGCCTAAGAGCCATTCAAGGTAGAGGGTTACAGAGTAAGATGCACAGTTTATGGGTATATATGGGGCAGATGATGGTAGTGATCGAGGAAGACTGCTTTATGGGACCAACTCCCAAGATGATCACTACAATCTTGGCCTGTTCAAGTCTAGGGTCAACCATTATCTTTCTCATATATCCTCATCTGTACCTCTTACTCTGTAACCACCTATCTTGTACAAGGTGAACATCACTGTAAAAAGAAAGAAAATGAACATTTTTAAGTTATTTTCATCTTCATTGACCTAGTGATATTATAATTTGAAAAATTTGGACTTAAGAAAAAAAATAAAAGTAAATTTGATGAATATTTCGGCTTAATCCTAAGATAATCTTAGAAATGACTTCAGATGGTTAAACTACTAAAGTTGCATAGAAAATTTAACCTAAACATTAATGCATAAAGTTATAAATGGCAATGGTGTCTTCATCTAACTAATTTCTTACCATTATGTGAGTGGTATTTCTACTGCACCTTGTACGTATAAAGTTGCATAAAAAAAGCTTTAGCTAAGCCTTAAAGTAATATTATAAATC